CTGGGCAGTCTGGTGGACGCTGCGGTGGCTAGGGAAAAAAGGAGCAACTTTGCGCGCGCAGGAAGTATCCGACGGTCATTGCACTTCAGGGCAAGCCTGAGGGTGGTGGGTCTTGATGCTGTCGATTTTCAGGCCTCGGGGGGGGGGGCGCGGCAGTGCGAAGCCAAGACTCTGGGAGCCAGAGACCGCGATTCTATATATATATATATATGTATATATAAATATAAAGAAAAAAGCTCTGGCGAACTAGGGGCAACGGGCGCGGCCGCGCGGGTCGGCGGCATTCCGCGCGGAAGTTTCGCTGGAGAGTGGCGCCAGGCATTATTTTCCACAAGGCCGAGAAGAGGGGTTTCCATTTTGGCTGCACTGCGCGCGTTACGACACAGCGCGCAGGACTTCGTGCCACTGTGTTGCAGGTGCGATCCCACGCGCGCTCCAGACCATGCAGCAGGCGCTTTTGTCGCGCGCGCCCCAGACGATTCAGCAGGGCGCAGTCTGGCAGCCGCCTTCGCCACGGCGGTGCCGCGCAGAGCCTTGCTGGCGCCGTTCCCGGCATTCCCGTCCATGCGCCATGCGCGCGCGCGTGGTTGATGTTGCTGCGCTCAGGTGCTGGGCGCGGCTGGGTGCACCATTGGGGGCGCGGGGGCTGCGTGGGTCAAGCTAGAAGGAAGCCTCAGCGAAGCGAAGCGAATCGTGTCGGGCCAGGAGGCGAACTCAATTGCGTCGCGTTAAGAGGTTAGCAACGGGCTCGCGGCAGCCTGGGGGGGGGGGGGCTGAAGTTGCGCTGTGGGGTCAGTTAGGAGGCGCCCGATGAGGCTTCTAGATTGAGGTGGGGCGCTAATGGGGACCCAAGTGGCCCAACGGCTCCGCGCTGGACCGCAGGCGGGCGCTCTGAGGGGGGGCGGCGGCGGCGGCGGGTCTCACTGCGCGGCAAGTCCACGCGCTGGGGGATGCCGCAGATAGGAGCACCTGCAAAAGCAAGGCTGGCCCTCTGACGCCGCATTGCCGGAGGTCTTACCAACGTGGGACAAGGATGGGCCCGTGCACGCTGCACCATGCGAATGTGACTAGCCAGTGGGATATGCTAGCGATCTGCGATGGGAGCCCCCGCGAGGGGTTCGAGTGCAAGTTTGCTTTTTTACCCCGCAGATAATTTTCTCGTCGAGCCAATAGAACATTGAAAATACGTAGCATGGTGTGAGGTCAACGGGACAATCTTGACATTTTTCGTGGACGCGGTGAAAACCAAGTTCTTGGTGAACTGTTTCAGTCGATTCCCTATTCGAGCCGTGGGTGTCATACAAGATGCGGCGCGGTTATTGTTGATGCCGATGTTCGAAGTAGTTCTAAGCGCCCCTGGCAGCTCTCGACGTTGCCTGCGCGCGTGCTCGCATTCACGCTGGCGGAGATCGGATGGGCGCCAGTTTCAGCTAGAAAATTGCAGGGCAGACAGCGAGGCGGTAGAGTTTGTCGCGGCCCCCCAATGATGGCGAGAGACCGCGTTGCTGTCAGAGATGCAGGACTCGCACCGGCGTCAAATTCCACCGGCAAATACCTAAGCGTAACGGGGCCTGGCACAGGCTTCCAAAGTGGGGAGGTGTTTGTAAGATGACGAACGTCAGCAGTTACGAAACATGGCGCGATCACCGCCCGAGCTGCCTCAGAGAGAATTTTCTCCATGGGATGCTGGGCCCGCGTAGAGTTGAGCGAAAACAAGCTCAGTGAACGCACCGTTTGACAGTAATGTTTAGGCTCCCCAGACATCCGCTGGAGATTCGACGGCCTGTCTTCAGCGCCGACAGACGGGAGTTCATGCCCATCAATGCGCGGCGAGCAGTTGAACAGGCGGTCGTTTAGCACAGCGATCAATAGACGCTTGCGGCTGGAATGCGCCCCGACCCCAGAGTTGACGCCGCCCGCCTTGTCTGTGCCCGACTGCCGCAGTCACTGGCGTAACAAGCTGCAGGGCGGGAAGCTCTCGGGCCGGACCTTTTGCGACGGATCGGCCCTCAACCTCATCAGAACGGTTCAGGCGCATGGGCTGGTTCGTGCGCGTGGTAGCTAGTAGCGGCGACCTCCCCTCGGCCGCGCACGGCGCGGTGCCTTGGGGGTCAACGTCGCTCCAGCGGGCCAGCGACGGGGAGGACCGCGCGTACTATATGTCAGCTCGTCTTGCTGAGCGTGATTTCGAGGTTCGGGGCCGACTGCGAGGGGGCCCCCGGGCGCCTCTGGGACACAGTTTCCGCGGTTCGCCCCTCGAACCCGAGGGCCAACCTTGCGGCCCAGAGTCTGGCGTGTTTTCGAGGAGGGGGGTCTGGTCCATGAGGCTGGGGCGCGCCGCCTTCACTGGCGTTTCCCCGACGAGGCTCTCGAGCATGACCTTGGCAGCCACGCCGAACCCACGCGCGCAGCACGAGTTCGCTTGGCTAGAGGGCAGAGACTTTCTGGACGACGCAGCCTGGGCCATTTCACCAGCGCGACAGTCGTTGCCCAGCCTGCTGCCTCCGAGCATCAGCTCTCGGAGGCCCAGGCCACCGCGTGGCTCCAGGGCCACAGCCGTCCCATGATGAAGGTCTGGGACGGGGCGGGCGCAAGGGTGGGCGGGGCTGGGTGGGCGATGACGCGCGTCAGGCGCGGGGGGCCATGCTTGGGCGGGCCTGGGTTCCGCGCGCAAGTAGTGCCCGAAGTAGCCCCGCGCCAAAGACCTAAGGCAGCAGCGTTCGCGTAGTTACCTCGAGAGGGCTGTTCCCCAGCTGGGCCAGAACAGAAGGCAGAAGATCTTTGACGGGAAGAGTCCCGCCCCAGGTGACTTCGTCTGTTTGCTACAGGCATCGAGGAAGGGAGTCGTCGTCCAGGAGGGGAAACCCAATTGTTTTGATGTTTTGTCGGGCTTCACCTTGGGCTAAAATTGGGATGCCCCACGGTTTCTCTTCCGGGTTCGGGGGCCGCGGTCCCTTGGTTGGATCTACGCCCGAGGAGGCCGTCAAGGTTAGCTGTGTTTTTTTTTGGGGGGGGCGGGGTATCTGTCAAAAGAGTTCGGCATTGACGCATTTTTCGAATGTTCAGAATGAAAACAACAAAGAAGGAGGGCTGGAGGGTAGCGTTGAGGCAGGGGGGCTGGGTCGAAGGCGGAATTGGGGAGGACGCGAGCGAACGAGAGACGCGTCCAAGTTGCCCAGACGCGCCATGCGGGAGAGTATTGGCCCCGCCAGCTTGCACACCAACCGGGCTTCGGCGGGAGGCCCACACGCGGTGCCGACAAGCCGGGAATGGCCTTCTTGGGAGCAACCATTGCGCACCCAGGGCATGCAAGCAGGGCCCGAACCATCGTCGGCAGCGGGAACCAAGCAGGCCAGGCCGTCAGTGGGTGGCAAACTCCTCCATTGGCCAAGGTCCATGACGCCGAGGACGTCTGCGTGGTGGAGGCTCACGCACGGCAGTGCCATGATCCGCCTGGACAAGCCTTCTCGCATGGCCGCCTTCGAACCAGCATGCACCTGCGTCGAAGCCGCCGCCGCCGCGGGCGCCCCAGGCGTCAGGAGGGCAGCCTCCTCCGCAGCTGCATCGTGAGGGGCGCCGCGCCGCTGCCTCTGCCGCGCGCGCGGCATCGGGGCGTCGGCCCACTTGTCGTCAAACATCGCGGCGTTGTCGGGGGGGCGAGGGCGGGGCCGTCGAGCGCCATAGGCACGACAGCCGCTTGGCCAGCATCCTCGTCGGCAGCAATGTCGCCTCGTTCCAGTGCGCGCCGTCCAGCGAGCCGCTGGCGCCGCTTCCTGCGCCGCGCGCACACAGGGGCAGCAGCCTTTGCCTGTCGGCAGCAGCAGCCTCTGTCTGTCACCATCATTCCCCATGACAGCCGCGTCCGCGGGCGGCAATTGCGGGCCAGCCAGCGTACGCGAAGAGTGCTACTGACACCGCGGAGCGTGCCACCGCTGCCACGGTCTGCCTGGGGCTGTTGGCCAGAATTGGTGCGAGAACCGGTGCCTCGACGAGGCAGGCCGGGTCCAGCGCAGCGCGAGCCAGCGCGCCAGTCGCTATCGCGAAGGAGGAGACGGCGTCGAGCTGGCTTGCAATCGTTTGAGCCAGAATGGGCGGAGGTGGGGAGGCAGAGAAGAGGAGGCAAGTTGGGGGACAGGTTCCCGTGTCCGTGCCCCCCGCACCCTCAGTTTGCCCCGCCCCCTCCACATGCTTCCCCCCCCCATGCCCTCCCAGGGACAGGCGTGTTTCCGCACCGTCGCCGCTCCTCCATCGCAGATCGCCTGGTATCCTCCGTCTTCGGTCCAACGGTATCGGCGCGCTATCCAGCCGGTCCCCAGTCCTCTTGAGGTCAAGATGCGGCAATCAAGGCAGTTGGCAGGCACGATGATCGATATTTGCAGTACCGGGCTGACGTTTCGCGAATGAGTTGAGCCAAATCGTCAAGCGAACGGCGCATGCGACAGCACGCGGGAGCTGGAACGTTTGGTCCAACACATGTGCAACAAACAGTGGAGAGCGTATCTAAGTATTCAGGCCTCACAGATGGGGTCCCAGTAAATGAGGTCGAAGGGTCGCGCCACATCGGCGATTCATCAGCGATGCATCGGCGACGTCGGCCGTCGAGCCGCATCGCCGATGCGTCGGCGATGCGGTGCTGTCCTCCGACCCTATCTCATCTGTTCGGGCCCCGTTGTGGAGGCCTCTAAACGATGCACTTCTACACAGGACCGCCCCCGTTCCCCCCGTCCGCTCCCCCTGTCTGGGATGATGGTTTGGTGTGATGATGTTGTCGCCATGCCTGAGTTGGCGACTGGGGAACAGGGCCACACTTTGTTGCTTCGTGCTGGGCCTTGTCCGACCAGGTTGGCCATATTGCGGACGTGGTTCACGCTCGGGCGCGTTCGCCCGCATCCTTACTCTGCTCACATGCCTGTTGGACTTTTTGCTTCACGCCTTCGCTTCTCGAACCTGCCTCTTTGGAGACAGGCCAGTGCATGCTCCATGCTCCGCTCCCCCTGCAGGCACCCGCGGACGCAGAGGCCCCGCCCGAGCCCTCGGCCCCCGCCGAGGCCGAGGCCGAGGCCGCGGACGGCGCAGGCTGCCCCCCTCCGCCCCCCTTGCTGGCTGCGACCAGGGGGGGGGGGTCCCGAGAGCTGGCCCTGACAGTTTGCTTTGGAGACGGCTGAGGGTCTGAGGTAGCTCTGGTTCCAGCCAGCAGGAGGGGTGGGCAGGTTCGAGTTCGAGGTGTTGGATTCGACAAGGCGGTGTTCCTCTTTCGGTCGCCAGGGGCCGTTTTCGGACCCAAAGTGGGATCTTTGATGACAAATTGCACCAGATGAGGTCCGGGGATCGATTTTGAGCGGATTTGCCTTCACCCCCACCTCTTAATTGATCTTCTTGGGGCCCAGCACGCTCAGACCCCCTGGCCGCCTGAAGGCTTGGCTCTCAGTACGATCGAACCAAGTACGGAAAGCATAGGCACGAATACCGACAGCAACGTCTCTTCTTTTTGAACGGGATCTGCTGTCGGTGCCGCCGCGGGCCTTGTCCATCTGAGACAGGAGGCCGCCTGCCCAACAGCGGCCGCTGTCGGTGTTGGACAACATTGGTTGCTGGGCATCGTACCCATTTGTTCCGTTCCCATTTCGGGCGTTCAAATCCTCGGAGCGCGGGCGCGTTTGGTGCCTGGGAGTGTTTGGGGAAGCCAGTTTCGCTTGGCTGGCTCGCCAGCCCTCTGCCCCCCACCTTCGAGGACCCCCTCTCTTCGCCTCCTCCACAGAGGTGGCCTCCCTCTCTTGGGATAGTGAACCCCCGAAGCCCAGATAATGTTAAACTAAACATCCTTCTTCACCGAGATGGAGACAGGGGGGGTCACCTGAGAGACGGAAGTATCGGGTTAGAATGCGCCAGACTTGGCGCATAAGTTCCCCGCGTAATGTCGCGCGTAAGCGCCCTCGTCTCCAATGCAGCGTGTCGCGCTGGCGGCCCGCGTAAGCCGCGGCGTAAGGTCGCCATGCCATCTCGCGTACCCCCACTCCTCCTGCGTTGCTCCCTGGGTGGCTGCGAACTGTGCAACGGTCGGCACTTCCGTGGGCTCCTGGGAGGCACGGCGGAGTCGGGGAGTAAAGGGATCCAGACTAAACCTCGCAGCTCCTTGGGTGGCTGCGAACTGCGCAATTGTCGTCATTTTCGCGGACTCCTGGGAGGCACGGCGGAGTCGGGGAGTACATGAATCCAGACTAGACTTCGCAGCTCATTGGGTGGTTGCGATCTGCGCAGGCACCGCCACTCTCGTGGGCTCCCCGGAGGTACGGCGGAGTCGGGGAGTACACGGATCCAGACTAGACCTCGCAGTTCCTTGGGTGGTTGCGAATTGTGCAACGGTCGCCATTTTTGATGGCTCTGTGGAGGCACGGCGGAGTCGGGGAGTAAACGGATCCAGACTAAACCTCGCAGCTCCCTAGGTGGCTGCGAACGGCGCAATTGTCGCCATTTTCGTGGGCTCCTGGGAGGCACGGCGGAGTCGGGGAGTAAAGTAAACAGATCCAGACTAGACCTCGCAGCTCCTTGGGGGGGATGCGAGCTGGCAATTGCCGCCTTCCATCCCTCCTCCTCCCCCGCCTCTCCCCTCCTCCCCGTCCACCTGCTCCTCCCCCTCCACCTCCTCCCCGCCCACCTCCCCCCGCTCCTCCTCTGCCACCCCTCCGCCCCTCCGCCCCTCTGCCCCCTCCCCTCCCCCCGGCACCCCTCCCGGCAGGCGAGCCCCAGGATCCCGCGGGGCCGGCGGAGGCGGAGGCCCCGGAGGGCGCTGCCGAGGGGGTCGCAGACGCAGGTGCTCTGGAGGGCGCCCCGCAGATCGACGAGGCCGCGGCCGCCACCGCGGCCGCCGCTGTCTCGAGGAAAATGCGCACGCGCTCCAGGTCCAGCCTCGACTCGCTTCCACATCCTCTGCAACCTCCTCCGCCTTCACCGCCTCCACCTCCGTCCCCTCCTCCCGCCTGCTCCTCCTACTCCTTCTCTTCCTGCCTCCGCCTGCTCGCTCTTCCTCCTCCTCCTCCTCCTCTTCCTCCTCCTCTTCCTCCTCCTCTTCCTCCTCCTCCCTTCTCCTCCTCCTCTTGCTCCTCCTCCTCCTCCTCCTCCTCCACCTCCTCCCTTCTCCTCCTCCCGCATCCTCCGCCGCGCGGCCGCCGCCCCATCGAGGCCGGCCGCCTTGGGTCGTGCATGAGCCGCCACCCCCGGCAGTTTTCGGTCCTGCGGGCGGTGGGCGACGTCGGCGTCCGCAGGCAGGGCTCGTTTCGATACCTCCGATTCGATTCGATCTTGATGGCCTCCGATTCCGAACCGATTCGACCTGGGATTCCGTGTTGGACTTCGATTTCTCAATGGAGGTCTTTTCGCTTGCCCATTTCCGCCGATTCGACTTCTCCCGACTTGGCTGCCGAGTTCAGCCGATCCGACTCATTTCGATCGCCGATCCGACTTGTCGATTCGATTCTGGGCTCTCCTGGCAGGGGGCTTGCCCCCGATCAATGATCCTCAGGACGTGTATGATCCCAAGCGTGTGTTTACCCTGCTTGAGTCCGCCGATGGCGCGCAGCCTGTGTTGACACATGTTCCTGCATCATCTCTCTGCCTGTCTGTGTTGCACGCACTTGCAATGATTTCTTGAATAATTGCGTCTGCTCTTTGTCTGACCGTTGCTGACATTGCTCAAGGCTTTCTGTTTTAGATTGAAAAGCAGATAGTGCAGAGCTTCGCGATTGTCCGCCCGACCCCCGCGTGCCAACAGTGGCAGCGGAGCGGGGTTAGGGCCGCAGGCTGCAGAGCACCAGGTGCTGCTGGGCGCAGCTAGCGGGCCAAGCGATCCACGGACCTACGGGGATTAGACGGACGACAGGGGTGCGAAGTGTGACACTGACGGCCGACGCTCATGTCAGAAGGTCTTTCGAGGCAAGACCTCGATTCCATAGCAAGTCGAGTGGTCGAACTACTGAGGGGTGATCAGAGCAGCTCACCAGCAGCAGCAGCAGCAGCAGCCACAGCAGCCACAGCAGCAGTATCACTACCGTGGTGCCCTCCACCAGCACAGGCGGCACCGGATCTGAGCGACCAGAGAGCAGAACCTCCAGCGCCGTCGTACACATGGTACGAGCACGGACAGGACCCACTGTGGCAGGACGACCCTTGGGCCTCGACGTTGCCGGCGGGCGGCTGGACAGAGCAGGCCTGGAACAGGCAGCCCCACCACACTGAGGAGTTTCTGACGCCTGGGGCACGCGATCAGGAACCGACCCCGGCGAGAGACGACAGTTGCACGCCCTCACGATGAGAACACAGTGTCGAGACAAAGGAGCTGAGCAAACCGACGTCCAATCGTCGAGCCGATGGCATAGCACTTCTTGGCACCCCTGTGCCTGGGCCTCCTGGAGTGGAGGCTGGAATGAGAAGCGGGACATCCGACCTCCACCGTCCTGGGCAGGCTGGGACACGTTCAGGTTGTGGAAGCAGTGCGTGTTCCGATGAAGGCGCAATTCGTAGCTTTCAGAGACTCAGCGCGCTGACCGATTATTGGAAGAGTTGCCATGGGATCTGCGTGCCAAGCTGGAGTGCATTCCCGAGCACGGCCTCACGGTGGACCGAATCGTGTACCACCGTGGTCAGGAAGGTGGAGAGACAGAGGACGACGAAGTATTCAGAGCGGGCAGCGAGGCCACCAGGGACATCGAACGAAATAGGAACGAGGATCTGCTGGCGTTCGCGACACGCCGTCGTAGACATCTCGAGCGTGCCAAGGAGATCGGTATGGAGCTCCCGCCCAAGGTTCAGGGCCTGTTGCTTCTACAGGGCGCTCGACTATCAGCTCAGGGCAAGCAGAACGTTCGAAGTCTCACCAGAGGTGCTCTGCTGGGACCCGACATCATGTGGCCTCTTCCTCGTCTAGACACGGGCGTCCTGGCCTGGAGCGACGGCCCCAGGTCCCACAGCAGCCTCCGAGAGCTCGGCAGCACCAAGTCAAGCTATGAGTCTGGCGTCGGCGAGGTCGGACCACCAGAGTCTGCGTGGTCTCGGTGGGCCGACGAGCTGGACGCCGACGACGAGCTTGGCGTCCTGATGGAGCTCAGCGGACGGGACCTCACCGAGGACGAGGTCAACGAGACGCTGGCTCAGATGGGAAACGGCAGACATAAGACTTGGAAAGATAATGGGGATCTGAAGAAAACAGTCCAAAAAGATCGTGGCTTCTGGAAGCGGAGGCGCCGACTTGCACCAGCGCGGCTCAAGCTAGTCACGAAGGGCGGCAATTGCGGAGAGACAGGACAATGGCATGCAAAATGCAAGAACCCCTTTCCAAGCCCAAGGAAGCCCGCCAGAAGGGCATCAAAGGCGCGGCTGGCGCAGGCGGCCCCGCCGTCTCCTTCGACGGCAGCGGTTTCTCACACATAGCGCAGGACGAGAACCTCAACGGCAGCTCCTGGATCACCCTGCTCGGCGAAGAGGCGCCGATGGAGCTCCGCGGGCAGTGCGTCGAGGAGGCCGACGAGGACAACGCGAACCAGAAGACTCTCTCCTTCCTCACCCTGGAGGATGGCTGCGCGATCGTGGACAGCTGGGCATCCCAGCGATCATGGGCAAGGAGCCCCTCGACCGAGTCTCCGACGGCCCGAAGTCCCGCGGGCTCGCTCCGGCGTGGAACGACAAGCCTGCCAGGCCCCCACGGGGCGCCGGTGGACAGGTCACCCTGCTCGGCGCAGCAATGGCCCCGATGGCAATGGGAGGCAAGTCGGGAGTGATTGAGTTTGTAGTGGCCAAGGAGAGCCCCCCACCGCTGCGACCCGGCGAGTTCCTCGATTTCTTCGGCGCGCGCCATTCTGCATTATCCACGGGGGCAGGTCGCTCTCCAAAAGATCGGTTGCAGCGTGCCGATGGAGAGATCGGGCAGGAGTCACAAGACGATCAGGATGAATGATTGGCAGGGCCTGGAGAGTCAGTTCGAACCGCCAGCGCACCTGGCCCAGCAATGCAAGGACTTTCGGGGCTCCGAGAAAGTTTCAGTGGGCGGGCCCTGCTCTCATCATCACCCCCCCCCCCCCTTCATCCTCTCCATCTACTCGTTGCGCCTCTTCATCTTCTACTCCCGTTACTCGCGACCTTTCGTCCAGCGGCTGCGCTATTCACGCGACCTCCACAGCAGATCCCCCCACGGTGCCCAGAGAGCTGCGCGATGGTGCTCGAGCGCGTCAAGACGAAGGGCGAGAATCCGCTCTGTCGCGGGACTCTGGACGGCCCTCTTGGACCCAGTGGACGCCTACTTCGACGGGGCCAGGATCGAGATCTCGAGTCTGGTCAAGGACGCGCGGCTCTTCGACAAGGAACTACAAGAAGCGAGCGCACGAGGACTCGAAGCTGTTGCAGGAGACCCAGACCTGAGCATGGACGAGGTGCGCACATCCACCCTGGAGGATCTCGAGCTCGGGAAACCAGTGCGCCCTGTGGGACTTCTGCTCGGGCTGCCGGGTGCGAGTCACCTACAATCTCAAGCTCAACGCGGGCTACGGCAACCGCAGGATGACGAACCACGAGCCGGCTCTACGTCGAGGACAGTTAGCAGCTCCACCGCGACCCACGGCTTCCCGGAGCCCCGCGCCGGCTACGGGGCCAGCGGGCCACCCGGGGGCACCCTGGGAACAGCGGAGCAGCCTGTCGCGCCACTCCGCCTCCAGCCTGGGCGGCGGCGATGGCGCAGGGAGCAGCGCAGACCATCTCGGCGAGCATGGCTGCAAACACGACGAGCACCTTCCAAGTCCCACTGCAGGCTCAGTCGCAGAACATGGCCACCTCGATGACCCCCCGGGTTTCCGAGATGCGGTCGGTGGACGAGCGTCTGGGCGCCCTAGCCAACAGCCGGCAGCCGGCGGATGTGCTGATGCTGCCTGCGGCCGACGCACCACCGAGTCTAGCTCCGGCTTCCTCGCCTCACCAGGGCCAGGAGGGCACGACGCAAGGCGAGTTCGAGCTGGTCGGGTCGTCGCCGAGCCCTCGCCCCATCTATGGCGGGCGTCTACAGCAGCATCTACGGAGCTCAGGAGTGTGAGCAAGCTTCCAGGCCCCTGCTGGATGCAACTACTTCAGGCAGCTAGTCTCCGCCGCGGACTGTGGAGCCGCGTTCTACGTGCGAGCAAGGCAGGACTTTGCCTTTCCCCTTGCCCTGGATAGGGGGACTCGTGTTTGAAAAAGGTGAGTGTCGAAGAGCTGTGCACGCCAACATTGTTTCTCATCTCGACATCGGCCAATGCCACATCATCCACGACCGCACAGCCCCCATCACCACTCACGACACTACCTACGACGGCATCATCCACACCATCATCAGCGACCCAGAGTTTAATGACATCATTAACACCATCATCTACACCAATGACGGCTAGGACAGGACAGATGCCACTGACTCCCCCCCCTGGAATCTCTTGGGACCATGTGTTCTCTGTTCCTGCGAGCTGCTTTCTGGAAGCCGAGAACGACGCAGATGACGCCCTGGCTTGCGCAGAGGGCCTGCAGAACACCCCGGTACGCCATGGAACCCTAAAGGCCCTCTGCAAGGCTCTCCATAGGCTCGGACACGGGGGTCTGGACGTTGGTGCTCAACGGGGCTTCATTGAGATCTTCTCTCCCCGTCGTATTGGGCCTCATGCGTCTCGTCTTGGTAGAGTTCCTACCGGGGGCAGCTAGGATCTCCAGACTTGCTGGGATTTCCGGCTGTCCAAACACCGCCAGCTTGCCGGGAGTCTGATCGATATTTGGAAGCCGCGGTTCGTGTTCCTTTGTCCACTTTGCACCGAGTTCAGTATACTTTCCGCGTCTAACGAAGACCGCCAGGACCCCCGCCGGTTGGCCATCAAGCGTGCTGAGGCTGTGACTCTGTGGGGATTTGCGCTGGAGGTCGCCGCTGAACAGGTCTCTCAGGGCTGGAGGTTCGCGATCGAGCAGCCCCGTCTGGCCACCTCGCTTCGATTGCGCAGTACAGAGCGGCTGCGCAGCCAGCCGGGCGTTCGAGAGGCACCCTTTGACACGCGCAGGTTCGGCCTCCGTGTCAAGGGCGAGTCTCTGGTAAAGAAACCCACGAGAATCTTGTCCAGGGCTCTTTTCCTGAGGAGATGCAGCGGCGATCACAAGCACGAGCTGTTGGCCGGAGGTTGGGCCGCGTCGAGAGCCGCAGTGTACCCAGACAAGTCTTGTCGCACAGAAAGAGCGCAGCTTTGTCGAGACGTTGCCACCCTCCACCTTCCCCGCTCTCCTGCGCGACGAGGATCTACAAGCATCCTGGGTAGGCGGGCCGGCGGAAGAAGACGAGGAGGGCGCGGAGGCCGAGGGAGCTGAGGGAGCACAGGACGTCAAGGATACCGCACTCACACAGGAGCAGATGAAGATGGCAGAGAAGGCACACATTAATCTAGGACATCTACGAACCGCGACCTACTACGTATTCTACGCAGCGCACACGCACGTCCATAAGTATTGCAGTATGTACAGAAACATTTCGAATGCCAGGCTTGATCCAGACCTGCCCGTTCCATCCCTCGACGCCGGGCTTGAGTGTCCCCGCGCGTGCGTTTCAACGAAATCGTCGACGTTGATATGTTCTATGTCACGTGCCGTCAGCAAATCTATACGTGTCTCAACGCTGCGTGCCTGGGTGCCTCTTTGCAGTGGGTTAGTCTCGTCGGTGCCGGTCGTCGTTCGCAGCCGGTCCTGTCTGGCAGGTATTAACTCAAGGATGGGTTCGCCACTATTGGCCGCCAGAAGTGATCATGCCCGACGGAGGTGCGAAGTTCGAAGCAGAGTTTGATCGTTTGCAGAGCAGTCGGGGCCCCATCATCATGTGGCTGACGCCGACCGAGAGTCCCCGGCAGAACGGGAAGACGGAGCGGGCAGGTCAGCGGTTGAAGGGGCGTCTTCAACGGGTCGTCGAAGAAGTCTTGTTGAACAGTCCAGGCGACTTGGAGCAGGCTGCCTGCGAGCTCACGGCCGGGCGAAGCGGCTTCCTCAACAAGGGCGGCTTCTTTCCTCCCCAGCTGATGTTCGACCAGGGCCCGCGATTGCCGCGCGAGTTGCTCTCGGAGGGCCCTCTTGATCACGCTGGCCTGCACGATCTCTCAGAGGCGAGTGGCGATGTGGACAGCGCCGCGGCTGCCTTTCGCCATCAGTGCGCCATCCGCGCCGGGGCCGGGGAGCTGGCGATGGAAGGAGATGCTCGAAGTAAGCTAAGTCTTGCTCTACGTTCGGCGTGGCACCGTGGTCGCGTCTACCAACTGGGAGATTGGGTGCCCGCGCGGCGCAGGCCCCCGTCGTCGGACAAGAAGCCCTTCGGGCTACAACGTGGCAGGTGGGTGGGTCCAGGTTCGGTCATCTACCATCAGGGCACTACCGTCTGGGCTGGGATGAGGAGCAGACTATGGAAGTGCATCAGCGAGCAGGTACGACCAGCTACTCAGTCTGAATCCTTGGGTGCAGAGCTCATTCAGTCCTCAGCTTGTCGATCGGTTCTCTCGAAGGGCTTCGACAGGGGTGTCTCGGGCAGCGCAGGAGACGTATCTCAAGAAGGCCCCCTTCCTCCAGACACCCAAGCGGCGCCACTCTCAGACTCTCGGGGAGGTCTTCAATCGGGCCCCGAAGATGCTGAAGCCCCTCCGTCCCCGATCAAGCGCTCGAGGCACAAAGGTCTCCGTCACCTACTGCAGGCCCCAGGTCGGGCCCTCTAGAACCCCGCGCACAGGCCCGCCCCAGAGAGGAGTCTGACGTCTCGGAACCGGCCAGGAGCGTGATCCCCAGGACCTCGCCACCACCAATTTCCTCCGCAGCATCTTCTAGCTCGGCTGGCACCTCTGGGCCCCGTGCGACAGGACCTCCGACAGCTGTCCACCAGTTCCCCGGCGGTCCGCGCCTCGCGCGGGCACCTTGACCTGCCTCGCGGCTGGTATCTGCCCCCGAGGAGGAGGTAGCTTCATGCCGTGGAGGACAGGCGGCTCCGGCTCCCGACCCAGCTTCGAGGACATCCGCCTCGGCAGGCGGCCGCGGGACAGCAGCCTCCAGCCAGGGCTCCGAGCCCGCGGCTGAAACAACACCTCCTGGGACCTCGGAAGTGTCTTCGCGGAAGGCCTCGGACATTTCTCTTGCGCCCTCAGACGCGGGCAGCTTAGACCCAAAGATGAAGCGCCTCAAGGTCGACCAGGAGTCGCGGGCATCCGGGGGCCCGAGTCAACCGGATGTCGGGGCCGCCCAACAGGGGCCGATCATCGGACCAGAGGACCTCCGATCCAGTTCGGGAGGAGCCCCCTCGTCAGCGCAGTTTCGCGACGCAGCGCTTCCTACACCAGTCGAGCTCCTACCCCGCGCTTCCGACCGAGCTCGTCTGCACATCGAGGAATGGGACCGTTGGGCTCAGCCTGGAGACGCCGGGGAAGTGGCAGTCGACTCCCAGGCAGTTTCTGACGAGGAGCTCTCGAGTGCATACTGCGAGTCTTTCGACACCTGGTTCCAGGATCGGGGATGCAGTGGCACGGCTGCCGAGTATACCAACGGCTCGGAGGATCACGCTCACGGCTGCTCGGAGGGCAGCGTCGGCAGTTGGAACCTCCTGTCTTCCAAGGGCGGCGAGGTCAAGCTGGGCTACCTGAGTCCTGAGGGGCGCGAGCAGCTCCGGGCGCCCGACGAGGCCGAATGGGCAGCGCTGAACCGACCCGGGGCACTTCGAGAACTTTCTGGTTGAGTCTCAGCACGCTGCCAAGACCAAGTTTGACAGGGCACTGTCTTCGAGGGCGGTGCGTCGCTGAGAAGGCCAGGAGGGCACTTTCAGTGCCAAGAAGGCCAAGAGTCGCTGGTGTGCACGCGGGTTCCGAGACCCAGACGCCGAGAAGCTGATCACTTATTCGCCGACCCCACAGTCGGAGTCCACGCGGATCTTCGCCATGGTTTTGTTGTCCTGCGACATGGACCAGGCCGTCGTGGACTGGAAGAATGCGTTCAGTCAGTTCCGCCCACTGAAGCGTTCGGGTGGGCCGATCTACGCTGCCCCCTGCGAGGGTCTCGCTGGAGTGCATGTTCTGGAGGGCTGCCTCATCGAGCTCATGGTGGCGTTGTGCGGACTGGGCGACGCTCCGTGGGAATGGCACGTCACTAGTACTTCCTTTCTTTCAGATCTGGATGTCCGCAAGCTGTTGTTGGAACCTTGCTATTGGACGAAGCGTGAAAAGGATCAACTCGTGGCGCAGGTGCTGATCGAGGTCGACGATCTGCGGCTCGGCTCCGTGCCCGGTCGCGCGAAGCGGTTGCGCGAGAGCCCCCAGGGGCGCTTCATTTTTGGGAAGTGGTGCGGGGATGAGGCCGAGTTCGCTGGCAGGCGACAGCGCCTCTCGACCGCGGTCGCAGGTCTCTGAGAAAGAGCCCATTCACCCCCGCTAAGTTTAACTTGCTCCGCTCAGGGGTGTAGCGACTGAACTGGGTTGCCAAGGAGTCTCGACCAGAGATATCAGGGACCGTTTCCATATTGGCAAGCAGTCTGAATCATGCTACCATTGACGATGTCTTCATGCACAACAAGGCGGCGCAGCTCATGCGAGACATGGCAGCCCAGTACATCGCGATTTGGATGCGCGGCCTGAGTCAAGTAGTGGCCATGACTGCGTGCAATGCCGCTAGCGTAGGGTCTGAAGGTCCTGCGCAGAACGCCTGGCTCGCTGGGACTGCAGACCCTCAGCTCGACACCGGTCAACCCGCTCGCGCCTCCATGCTCTCCTGGAGATCCTCCAGGATGAAACTGTGCCGCTAACTCTTCTCGAAGGCGAGGCTCAGTTCCTGTGTCAGGCCGTGGCCGAGGCGGAGTGGGTTCAGCCGTTGATCTGCAATTCCCATTTTGGCGAGGAGCCGTCCGGCTGGCGTCGTGATGTGGGCCTTGTCGTTTCAGTGCTGAGGAGCTCCTGTGAGCTTCAGAATCCCTTCCCAGGGGTGTGCGCCCTGAGTGCCAAATCGATGTTCGATACGCTTTCGAAACACTGTGCTGGTCGCAAAGAGCATCGACGGACCTCCGTCGAATTAGCCATCATCAGGGATTTTGTTCTGCTCCCAGTTCCTGTGCCCGATGGTTGCCCCATCTTTTGAACCCTACCGACATCATGAGTGAGGCTGACGTAGCCAAGAGTTCAGAGGCTCTTTCCAATGTGCTCTAGACAGAGATTTCGGCCCTGAGCGATGCGGAGGAGGAGGAGCGAGATGATCTGGCTGCCGCCGCTGCCAAGCAGCACCGTAGCAAAGAGGCCAACAGGCGCTATCTGGTGACCAGGCACCTCCGTTTGCAATCTTCTAGACAGTCAGACCGGCAGTAATTATGGGGAGATGTTGGCACATGTTCCTGCATCCTCTGTTTGCCTGTCTGTGTTGCACGCACTTGCAATTACTTCTTGTATACTTGCGTATGCTCTTTGTCTGGCCATTGCTGACATGGCTCAAGGCTTGCTGATTTCGAATGAAAAGCAGATGGCGCAGAGCTTCGCGATTGTCCGCCCGATCCCCGCGTGCCAACAGCCTGTGTCGGCAGTCGTTGCGCCGCCTACGTCGTGCTGAAGAACCTCGGTGGGAAACGCACGTTGGCGGCAGCACACGTTCTGAGGATCATCGGCGCGAGCGGCGAACATGTCCATGCCTGCGCCCTCGCGGTCCCGACTTAGGAGCGCGACCCCGCGGATGCATAGTCGCACAGATGCGTTCCGCGTGGAGGGGATCCGTGAGAAAACGGCTCATATCCGCGGGGTCACGGCCAAGGGGCCCAGCCCGCGAGGTCAAAGGCACGGATATGTTTTCGCCCACGAATTCGCGTCGGTGTCGTTTTTTCTTTTGTGCGCCGAGCGCGCGATCTGGAAGAAGCCTAGCCAGAATCATTCACCTCCGCCTCCCTTGCTTCCGTTCATCCCTCCCTCCCGTCGTCCTCCGTGGTTGTGGTCATCGTCGTCGCTGGTGGCCGCCTGTTTTTCTTGTCTGCCTGAACCTCGCGCTGCTACGCTGAGGTCCGATAACCTTGGCGCTCCCTGCGCCGCCACTGCTTTCCCGTGCGGCCGCCCAGGAAGGCGCCGCGCCGCCAGAAGCTCTGGATGGCACCGCGCCCCCTGCTGCCCAGGACTCATCGGGAGGCAGGCGAAGGAAGGGAGAGGGGGAGAGGGCAGAGAGAGAGGGAGGCAAAGAGGGGGAAGAGATGGAGGAGGAGAAGGTAGAGTGGAGAAGGGAGGAGTAGGGGAGGTGGGTGGGGACGGGGGGGAGGGGGAAATTGGACCAGGAGGAAGCCGGTGATGAAGGAGGAGGAGGAGGAGGAGCAGGAACCGTGCCCCCAGATCCTCAAGCGACTGCTCCTGGTGGCGGGCCTGCCTCCGTGGCTGCTGCGATTCGTCGAATTGTTGTGAATTCAGATCAACGGTGCTTCGGTGGCTGGCGGGTCGGTCCACCCCGGGTTCACTTCAAGATCGGGGATTCGTCAAGGCTGCCCGCTCTTTCCAATATTGTTCGCAGTTGCGGTGGGCGCGTTGCTGAGGAGGATGAGGCGGCCCCAACCCTCGCTGGAGACGAGGGTTTTCGCGGGCGACGTCGCCGCCGCCACCCCCGACCTCTTCTCGTCGGCGCCAGCGTTGCCCCTCATCTTCACGGATTTCGGGCGGATCTCGGGATTGCGGCTGAACTTGCCGAAGATTTGCGTTGTCCCGCACTTCCGTAGTTGCCAGGCCATTGTACTGAGAAGCGTGCCTTCCTCGCGCCCCGGCTGGCGCGGTGCGCAGGTTGCTTGGCGCGTTGAGCACTTCGGCCCCGAGCGGGGACACGAGACCTACGGCAAGGCTTTCGACAAGGTGCTAGGTAGAGCGAGCTGGCGGGGAACAGCGGGCGGCGGTCTTTCAGTGACCACGATGGTCTACACGGTTTACATCACCTTTGTCAACGGATTCCTCGTGCAGCTCGACGCCCTGCCACCTAGCTGGAAGTCCGTTGAAGTTGAAGTGTTCTGGCGCTTGGTGCCCGGCTCCAGTCAATGGGCGTGCCCCGATGACCTTCGGCAGCTGCAGGTGTTCGGTTTTTCTGGCGGTGTTACCGTCGTGCGCGCGCGGCAGGAGGCTGCGCGGCTACTCGTTGCAGCATGGAAACGCAGGCTGAATGCTGAGATCGCCCACGGTCGCCTTGCCATGGTGGCCATCATCGGCATGTTTTTCACTCCAAGGACAGTTCCCTCTACGAAGGTCGAGGTCGGAGAGGACCGCTCCTGCACGCTATGCTGATTTCATGGCACAGTAGAACTACAGAGTAGTACTTGCAGTCTTGCGGCTAACACTGTCATTCATCTGGGCGGCGCTGCATTCCTGTGGGTGGAGGCGCTGTCCTGCTCCGGTGGCAGGCCTGCCCTGCGGCTGTGCGAAACAGAACCCACACGGGCTGACAGGACTACCTTGTGCCCTGTTCTCTAGTGTGCCGCCCCGGCAGGGCGCCCACATTCAGTGTAATTCAGATTTGACGCTACAGAGGTGCATTCAGTGTTTTGGACACGGGCGACTGGGCATCATTGGACATCGCACGCACAAGTTCTCGCACGCATGACCCCTTGGACGATGCGACACCCGAGCGATGACCCTTCTGGCCTCGTGCACCGGGGAGCATATTGGCAGCATTGTGGAACGCCGTCTTGGCCTACACCACTTGGTGTCACTATTATTGCGGCGTGATCGCCGACAGCTGCAACGGACCCGGACTTTGTGGAAGGGGGATGTCTTGTGCTACGGCGTCTCGATGAGCTTCGGTCTCGCCTTGGATGTTGCTGGCTGGACAGCGTAATGCGCTGTCGCGATGAGTTCCGGGTGCCGTTTCGACCCTTGCTGATTGAAGGATGTTGGTATGGTGGTGTTTGTTTTTGACTTGGTGTGGAGGACTTGTTCACGCCCGGAGTTGGTTCTACTCGTTCGGGTCGCGCCGGCGGGGGGCTGCCACGAGGCGTGAAAGTGCAGCTTGTTGACTTGGGCTTTCCTAAGACTCCCATCAGTCAGGCCAGTCGCATGCAGCCAGTCCGCTCTGCTATGGGCCGTGGCCTTCTTCAAGCTGTTCTGGGTGCTGCACCTCGTGTTGCCCATTCTGCTATGATGCGACCGGCCGAAGCGTCACTCGTCTTCGCACGTGTGAGCACCTATGCATTGTTGTCGAGTCGGGCGTGGCACTCCCCTCCGGGTAGTGCGCCCCTTGGTGGGGAAACGGCGGAGGCGGGGGCGCGCGCCCCTCTTGAAATGGGCCCCGTTTCGTCACATATTGCCTATTGGTTCACCCCCGACCTCCACGCCCACATCAGAGGCGATTTTAGTCTGCAGGGTGGACTCCGCTGGGTTGTGCAGTTGCTCAGCGAAATCATTTGCGTACGCGCTACTTGGCACGTAGTCCCCACTCAAGGAGTACAGCACCCACCTACTGCCCCACGTACAGCACCCAGCTACTGCCCCCAGGACGGCCTCACCAGATCTGCCTGGGGTGACTGGGCCCTCTACGTGGGCCCTCCGCTCCGTGCGTTCGAGAGCGAGCTGGGCGTGAAGCCACCAGTTGGCTTCTGGGACTCCGTCGGTCACGCCAAAGATGGTGATGCTATGGCCTTCGAGCGTAGGCGGGGGACTGAAATCAAGCACGGGCGCGTCTCTATGTTGGCGACTGGGATCGCGATGCACGTATGCGTCCACGTCGCCGCGAACCCGGACAACACTCTAGACGATCACGTCTATCATTTGGGTCCTCTCTCCTTGGGGGGCGTCAGCCGCGGTGCGGCAGATGCTGGGCTCCCCCCCGTGCCCTCCCTTGGCGCGGGGTCCCCAGTCCCGCCTCGCCGCTGCTCCCCCCCCCCTCTTCGGGAGGGGAAGAGGAGGAAATCGGGCATGTTCTATGACGAATTCGTGGTCTACGAGCCTGGAGTGGCAAACCCTTTCCCTCTTCGGGGGGTGCCCCTCGTTTCGGCTTTTTCCCGGGTGCTCTTTGGCGGGGCGGGAACGTGCGACACCTTGGAGTTCCGAGGGAGGCGGTTGGGATCCCTCTGGGATCTTTCCTCCCTCAAGTGGCCCCAGGGACAGGAGGCTGTTGCGACTGATCACCGCGCGACTTCTTTCCTGGGTGTTGATCCGGCCTCTGTTTTTGGACCCCTGATCCTTCGTGGCCGCTACCGTGACTTGCGTTTTCGTTGACAGGGTTTCTTGAATGAGCATGCGCTTATCACCATGAGGCTACCAACGTAACTTGGGGCTTTTTGATTGAAAATCGTGACTCGCCAATCTTGTTCTGTCATGTGCCCACACGACCGCAGCTTTCGTGCTGCGGCTGGGCTGGCCTACGTTGCCTCGGCTTACATACCAATATTCTGACCGTTCAGGCTTGCCCTAGTTATTTCGGGTGCTCTTGGTTCGGTCGTTTGTCTTTCTGGATTGATATTGCCCAGACAGGGGGGGAGGGTCATGGCCCCTGCGCTAAGATTAGAGTACCCTCCACCCCTCGTCGGAGCGTGGGTTGCTTTTTTTCCAGGGCTGCCCCAACACAACTCTGTAATGGCCTAGATCGGCGCTTTGGAAATCATCTACGAGCTTCTCACCCTGCGGTTTCTATTCTCATCGGTGGCGGTAGGGGGGCCGCAGGTTTGGCCGAATACCCCTACAACAACAACAACAACAACAACTATGTTGGCGACCATGGATTATACATCACTCCCGAGGTGGCTGGCAAGTTTCCTGGTGGGATACCTCCGATTCTCGGGAACAGATTCGATTATGTCCCGAACGGCCGTGCCACTATCTCCGAGGTGCCGGGCCCTGGTTGGCTGCAGATCGTTGCGTATTGCCTCTGCTGTGAGTTTGGGCCTGTCGGAAACAGTTCTGACCCCAACAGGAAGCCTGGTGAGCTTGGCTGGAGGCCGATCGGTTTGTACAGCACTGGCCTGCGGTGAGGCAGCGCAGGCTAAATGCTGCGATCGCAAACGGCCGCCTTGCAATGATGGCCCTCATCGGCATGCCTTCCAGGGCGGTCCCACAGTTTGTGCCCCGGGTGACTGGGACCTTTCGTAACAGCACAATAGCACTGCGCCCGGGGGAGGGTGACCTTGCAGAGCGCGTGGCCCATTTGACGCCTTGTTCCGCGCACGTAGCTTTGCTTGTGCCGCCAGCGCAGGGGCGGGGGCGTGGGCCCCCCAGACCGCGCTGGACAGCACCACGCCTTTACGGGACCAGCCTGGTGTTGGCCCCCTCGGTCGTTGTCCGGATGCGTGGCGGGGGTGCAGCACTCTCCGCGCGGCCCCACTGGAAGGGTGTCGGGCCACAGGGCCTGGACACCAGCGCGGGTCCTTCTCTGTTTTTGCTTGACGCGTGCAGGCCCCACGGGAGGCCAACGCCCACGGCGACCTTCCGTACGCCTGCCGGTGCCCAGCGTCGGAGGCGCCGGGCGCGCTCGTTTGGAGCGGCGGCCGGGGGGTACCCCGCAGTCTTGCTCCCCCAGTTTGCGGCCTGTCCCGCCGGGGGGGATGGTTTTCGTTAGCAGGATGGCGGGTCAAGACTTCGTGGCGGTTCTTTTGTATAGGTGTGCGGTGTGTTTATACATGGCTGAACCCTGGTTTTCGCAATTATACAAACGGTCCTGCCCCCTCCCGTCCAGCATCGTGCAGGGCTCCAGCCAAGGAATATGTTTAAGTTAGTGCCTCGGCTTTAACGTTTGGGTTCACGGCCCACCGCTCGCTTGCGCTCCCTCTCTCTCTCTCTCTCTCTCTCCCCCCTCTTGTCCTCTCCCGCAGCCGTCTGGCTGCGAACAGGTGGTTGCAGTTCCTTTCTCTCCGTTCCTAAGTGAGCGGGCGGGGTGCCTATAAATGGCTGAACCCTGGTCTTCGCCACTATAAGCATGGTCCTGTCCCCTCCCCTCCAGCATCGTGCAGGGTTCCAGCCAATGGATATGTTTACGTTAGTGCCTCGGCTTTAACGTTTGGATTCACGGCCCACCGCTCGCTTGCTCTGTTTTTTCTCCCTCTCTCTCTCTCTCTCCCCTCCTGTCCTCTCCCGCAACCGCTGGCTTCGAGCAGGTGATTGCAGTTTTTTGTTCCTCCCGCCCACCCTACAGGCCCGCTCCTAAGTGAGCGGGCGGGGTGCCTATAAATGGCTGAACCTTGGTTTTTGCCATTATAAAAATGGTCCTGTCCCCTCCCCTCCAGCATCGTGCAGGGCTCCAGCCACGGAGTCAAATTTTACCCAAGGAAAATAATTTGATCCATGGGTTGTTTTCACACACGGGAGATAGGATCCGTGCGGCACACAACAAATAATACATGACACGGTTACACACCCAGAACAATCACATTTAATCCGTTGCTGTTGTACTTGTTTCGCTCCAGGAGGACAGAGTTTTCGGCCCGGGGATGTATGATACCTTGCGTGTTGGAAATAAATACGGGCCTGTTGGGGTTCGTAACCTGCTGGTCGCCCGATGTCGGGTCCTTCAGTGGCGTCGCCCTGAGCTGCGGGGCCTGCTGACTCGCTCGTTGGGTTGGGGGGCGCAACGACACACCTCAAGTGGGCGGTCCTCCTCTTCCGATCCTGCTCCTAGACCAGTTGTTGCTCCTCCTCCTCTTCCTTTTCCGCTCATGCTCCTAGACCACCTCGTCCTCCGCCGCCTCCTCCAAGTCCTCGTTTCCCCACGCGCAACCCTGGAGGAGGGCGGGGCCGGCGAGCCTGGCGAGCTTGGCGAGGCCGGCGAGGCAAGCGAGGATGCGGTGGGGGGCGCTGAGGGCGCTGAGGAGTTGGCACCAGGCTTGGCCCTCGGTCCGAGTAGCAAAGCTCTTCGGGCGCAGCCACGTCGGGGGGGGGGGGCGGGCGACGCCCAGACCTCCGATGTTTTGAACAAAGGCGTCGCGGAGGCATGTGGCCACTTGCGGCGTCTGGAGGCCTTCCTCGAGCCTGTGGCCCCAGGGAAGGGTTGAGATCTGTGAATAGGGGGGAACGGGATATGCGACGATTGTTGCATGCAGCTGACGGTTTCGGAGGCACCGCTGGGCACTTCCATCGATGTGCGGCCGCCTCCAGCCCCGGCAAAACCAGGGCACGCTGTCAGTGCACCAACCTTTCCTTTGTCTAGGCCTCCCGGATTGGGTCCAAGCAGATGGGGTCGGAGGATCGCGCCGCATCGCCGATGCATCGCCGACGCGGCTCGATGTGGAGCCCGACTTTCTCGCGCCGACGTCACCGATGCATCCTCGATCTATCGCCGATGCATCGGCGATGCGGCGCGATCTTCCGACCCCATGGATTCGGACCCCATCCAGCAGGCCTCTACTTTGCTAGCACCCTCCTTGCCTGCACCCCAACCCCAGAGAACCAGAGGGCCACGCAGGACGGAAACTTGGGGACTTCGGCGGGCGGCCTCTTTCCGGGCGCTGGGCCTCCTCCCCGCACAGTCCCCAGCGCATTCCGCTCGCTGGGGATTGCGTGGAGGGGTCTGGCGCCAGCAGAGGGACCGTTCGGCGGCGAGATCCGAGCCCTGCCCTCGCCGATCAACGGTTCAGGTTCGGAAATCGCCGAACGCATGGCGAAGTCCGAACCTTGCTCCCGCCTCCCATCGGTTCAGGAGAGTCGATGGTTGGTGGGGGTAGGGGGGTTAGGATATCGCCACCTAACCGTCCGTGGACGTCCCGAAGTGTGCGACTGTGAAAGTACCGTTGTTTGATTCTTCCAGGCTCGTTTCGGGCAGCAGGCCTTGCCAGCCACGCTTCAGATTCGCGGTGATCTGCCGCAGGACGCGGTCGAGGCTCGGCTCCGATGGATCTCTCTCCCTCTCTCTCTCTGTATATATATATATGTGTGTGTCTCTCTCTTTCTCTTTCTCGTTCTCTCTACGGGGTACTTCTTCGACACCCCCTTCAGCTGTCGTTGGCGGCATGCTGCCCTAATTCTAGACGCTTCGCGTGTCCCCAGCAACTTTGCGCTCCTCTGAGCAGCAGTGAGGCTCGCCTCCTGTTTGTCTCTCCCCACGCTCGTTCTTGTTATTTAATCGCTTCGCTCATTCCGCCGGCCCATATTGTCGCACCGTTGTGGGCTAGCCGAGTTTGGGGGGCCGTTTTGGGGCCTCTTGGGGCCTCTTTTGGGCCTCTTGGGCGCCTCTTGGGGCGTCTTGGGGGCCTCTTGGGGGCCTCTTGGGGCCTTTTTGGGGCCTCCTGGGCGCCTTCTGGGGCGGAGGGCTCGATTTTTCAGTTCTCGGTTCCCCTCTTGAGCCCCTCTTGGGCCCGTCTTGGGGCCTCTTGGTCCGTCTTGGGCGGCACTTGGGCCGTCTTGGGGGCCCTCCTGGGCCGTTCCGGGGCCGTCTTGGGAGCCTCGTGGGCCGTCTTGGAGCGGTCTTGGGGGCCTCTTGGGCCGTCTTGGAGCGTCCGGAAGCCGAAAAAGCCAGAACACAAAAAACATCGAAAAAACCAATGAAAATCAACGATTTTGGCCTCTTGGGGCTCTCTTCGGAGGCCTCTTGGAAGGCTCTTGGGGCGTCTTGGAGGCCTCTTGGGCTGTCTTGGGGGCCTTTTGGGCCGTCTTGGGGTCATCTTCGGCGTCTTCGAGCGCTCTTTGGGCGTCTCGGGGGCCTCTTGGGCAGTCTTGGGGGCCTCTTGGGGCACTCTTGGCGCGCTCAGGGCGGCCTGAGAGGCCGCACCCAGAAGGAAAACCATCTCTGAGTTGAACCGGGCGGGACCTTCCCAGGCGGCGGGCGGGGTACTTTTCGCCGGGGGACCCCCAGGGGCCGCCCCGCGCGCGCGAACTAGTACAATACAATTGTTAACCAGTTACCGGAGATCTTAGCACGCCTCTGGCCCGTTGGGCCGGCGAATTTTCTTTTCGTCCGTCCTCTTCCTTGCGTTAATTTAGGCCGTTGCTAGTTTGCAATTCCCTGGAAGCCGTCCGACCTTTCTTCGCCGCGGTCGCGATCAAAAAGTACCCCCACCAAACCCCTCCAGAGACGATGCCCAGGCGAGGCGCCCAGGGGGCCTTTTTGATCGTCGTGGGTGCCTCGGGTGTGCTCTTGAGGCGTTTCGGGGGGTCTCTTGTGAGCCTCGGAGGCCCTTTGGGCGCCTCTTGGGGCCTCCTGGGCGCCCCTTGGGGCCCTCTTAGGGCGCTCTTGGGTGCCTTGAGGGCGCTCATCGGGCCATCTTAGAGGAGATCGATGCAACCAGAGGGGAGCTCCAAGTAGCCTCGCCATTCTAGAGTGCCTCAAATCGACTCTTGAGCCCCTTGGAGCGCTCTTGGCTCTTGGGCCCCTCTTGGGCCCGACTGGAGCCATCTAGAAGGCTGGGCTGGCCATCGGAAGCGAACAGGCGAGACAACAATAAACATTGAATTTCCCCAGGTGTTGGAAGGGTTTCAGCTTCTTGAAGACATCCTTGGAGGTCTCGGAGGTGGCTTGGAGCCGTCTTGGAGCTTTCTTGAGGCCTCTTGGAGCATCTTGGGGGCCGACTTGGGGCATCCTGGACTATCTTGAGCCATCTTGGAGGTCATCTTGGGCTCTCTGAGGCCCTCTTGGATCCATCTTAGGCGACAAAGTACCCTCTGACACCTCGCGGGGCGCCCCGTCCAGGTCCAGGGGAGGGGGAGGGGGGAGGGGTGAACCCCTCCCCGAAGGGGAAGAAAGGGGTTGGAAGAGGCGCCTCCCTAGACCACATATGCCCAGAGGACTGGTGGGATTATGTTGACAGTTCCCCCTCCGCCTCCCTCCCAGTCTGCCTTCACTGCTCACCCTCATCCTGCTAGCCCTCCTGCCTCTTTCTCCCCACCCCGTCCGCCACGTAGCCATTTGTCGACCTTCTCTGATTATGACATGTCGAGGCTCCACCATGGCACAGTCGGGCTGGCTCCATTGGTACCCTTGGCGAACGCAGCGATGGTCTGAGATGACAGCAAGGCTGCTGGCCAGGGAGTACTGCGCCAGCTGCGACTCGCCGTCGTTCGCGGGGATGTTACATGCTCGCAGTGCTTCAAATCAACCTCGTATTTGTTTGCCTCCAGCGCAAACAGTGTGTTTTCGAATGTGTTGGAATTGTGGTTATGGCAGTAGTTGCTAATATGTTGTAGCATCAAGGTTCAAGAGTGACCTCTGTCGCGACGTTCACTACACAGGTTCATCTGCTTTGTCGTGTTTTCAAGCCGCCATCGTCGTATCTATCGAGTGTGGCAATGCTCGAATGTGCTCAGTATCTGTCAACCGACCGTCACGCGGCCAGCATGTTCTAAGGTGATGGGGACGCTCAGGATGCTTCGCTGAATCAGGCGCTATCGCTTCTCCAGCGCGTGTATGAGTAAGCATTGGCGTGTCTTCACATGTCGCACCCACCCTGCCCACAGTGCAATCGAGGCGCTCCCTCTTGTTTCGGGGGCGTGTGACGCGAGGCGTGCGTCAAAGATTGGAGATGGTCGCTGTTCTATCCGAAGATGACAGCGAGTGCGGGACGAGAAGGAGGAGAAGGAGGGGGAGGAGGCAATGAGGATGAGGTGCATAGAGAGATCTCACACGTTACGTGCCACAATGTGCTCCATAATGGATGTAGTTTCGTTTTCGACTGTGTCCCTATGTCAGTTTCAGGAGTTGCCTCTGCGTTGGCCTAGACGTCGATTAGTCTGAGCTTATGTTTCATGACTAGTTGAAGCTCAGCATGTCCATGTGTGTTGTTTAGTTTTGGCGTTCGCATCAGCTCAATGTCGAGTTCTAGTTTCTTACAAAGTTTTAGCTCTGTATGTAAGCTTGCATGTGTCCTGATGGGAAGACCACCCCGGTACGGGTCAGGAAGGTTGTTCACATCAACCCAATTTTGGTGGTGGTGTATAGGTTCGGGTATCGAGTACATTGCATTGTGTTCTATGGCGTGCTTCTCTTCTCAAGTTTGACGCCGAAGGTCGTCGTAATCAGTATGTATTGCAGCTTGTAGAGTAAGGGGGTAGTCTTGTGCCGGCCCAATGAAGTACTCCCTGGCCGATCTTGGCTAATCTTATGGCCCCCTGGAGTAAGGTCGGAGTTGAGTTCAGTCGGCACGAGGATGATAGACAACCCTGGCTTCGGCGGATACTCTCATGGTTTCGATTTTGGGCTCTCCACCAAGGGAGCAACTTCGTTATTGTTGGTACCTCTGGTTGGTTTTGGGCCTTCGGCAAGTGGCTCGTGTTCTTGACCCACTTTATTGTGGGCATGCTTGGACTGTAGGATAGAGTATAGCAGAGTGGAGCAGACCATCGAAGAGTAGAGGCAGTATCCATACGGTGTTGTAGGAGTAGCGACCCGCACTACTCCCCTAGCGCAGGCAATGCAGAACTCTATACGTGCGCGCGCGGACCACGCGAACAAAGCCCTGCTGGCCTGGCACTACAGTGCACACTTGATTGTGGCCGAGCGGATTTCGGATGACCCGCCCGACTTGCTTAGTGTGGACAGTACCGAAATTTTCCCGCGCGCGCGATCACGCGTTGATACCTTCGTATGGTTCGCAACAGAGGGGTGCCCCGTTGGCTTGGAGACTACACTGAACACTTTACGTTGGCCGAGCGGATTGTGAGTGATCCGCAAGACTTGACCAGACCGGACATACAAGTCTCTCCACAAGCGTGCGCGTGTTCGCGTCGATAGTTTAGTAGGGCCCACAATATTACATTGAGCTTGTGTTTTGGAGGCAAACTATCCTCTAAAGCTAATCTCAACAAAGCAACTCAAATACTATCCTGATCCAGCTCTGGCCCAGAACTCTGTTTCATCTCTGTTTGTTTGAAGCACTGATTCAATTCTGGTTTGAATTCTGATTTAACTCTAATTCGGCTCTGTCCTCAGCCAGAGCTAAGTCAGAGTTAAATCAGAGTATCAGACCAGAGCTAAATCAGAGTTTCAGCTAAACCGCAGAGATGAATCAGAGTTTCAGGCCATATCCAAATCAGATTTCCAGCCAAACCAGAGAAGAGTTTCAGGCCAGAGCCAAAACAGAGCTGAATCAGAGTACCATCCGATTTCTGGCAGTCCCGGGCGGAGGGCGCGGGGCGCGCTGCGCAAGTGCGTTTGTCCTCTCTCCTTGCCCATCATCCCTCCTCCCCTCGCTACCGTTCCTACCTCGTCTATCCTTCCTTCCTTCGTTTCCCTCTCCCTCCCTTTCTCCCTCCTCCCCCGTTCGCGTCCCTCTTCCCCCCTCCCCCCCCTCCTCCTCAGGTTGTCTCCTCCTTCCTCCCCTTATCCCCGCCGTTATCCTCCACCTTCCCTCCTCCTCCTCTTCCCCCCCCTTGGCCTCTCTAATCCCGTGTTCTCCTTCCTCGGTCGCCGTCGCCATCCACGTGCTGTCCCTCCTCTGCCCTCGGCCCCCATTCCTCCCTTCGTGCTTTTGTTCCTCCTCCTCGTCCTCCTCATCCTCCCCCTATCCCTCCTCCGCATCGAGCGTCAGTCTTCGCTCCTCGGCCTCAGTGTCCCGCCCTCGTTCTCGCCCTCGCGTTCCCCCCTCGCTCCAGGCCCCGCGCCCTGGCCTCATCTCCGCCCCCGCGCCCGCCCTCGCTCCCGCCCGAGGCCATTTTCACTTCAGCCATCTTTCTCGCCTTCGCCTTCGATCCCGTCCTTGCTATCACTGTCGTTCCTGCCCTCACTCCCGCCCTCGTTCCAACCTTCGTTCCCGCCCTCGTTTTCGCCTTCGCTCCCGCCGTCGCTCCCGCCGTCGCTCCCGCCGTCGTTCCCGCCGTCGCTCCCGCCCTCGTTCTCGCCCTCGTTCCCGCCCTCGTTCTCGCCCTCGCTTCCGCCCTCGTTCCCGCCCTCGTTCCCGCCCTCGTTCCCGCCCTCGTTCTCGCCATCGTTCCCGCCTTCGTTCCCGCTTCCATTCCCGCCCTCGCTGTCGCCCTCGTTTCCGCCCTCGTTCCTGGCCTCATTCTTGCCTTCGTTCTCGCCCTCGTTCCGGGGCCGCCCGGAGGCCGCCTGGGGAACCCAAGGGCCGCCCGGGGAAATCAGACTTGAAACGCAGTTTTGGCCAGACCTCAAACAGACCTCAAACAGACCTCAAACGGACCCCAAACAGACTTCAAACAGACCTTAATCAGAGCATGGCCCAGAGCAGACCTCAAACTGACCTCAAACAGAAACCCGCCCCTCGCTCGAGACATCCTCAGAATTCGTTCCGCCATCATCATCATCATCAGCATCATCATCATCATCATCAGCATCATCATCAACAACAACAGCAGCATCAGCATCAGCATCATCATCATCATCATCATCATCATCATCATCATCATCATCATCATCAGTATCATTATCATTATCAGTATCATCATCATCATCATCGTCATCGGTGTCATCATCATCGCCATCATCATCAGCACTTATCATCATCATCCGCATCATCATCAGCATCACCATCATCACCATACAACATAACGTAACATAACATATCCAAACAGTGCACACCATACCATGACATACCACCACATACATACAACATCATACCACAACAGAGCATACGATAACATACCACCACATAACGTAACATATATTAACATACAATGTCACATCAAATTGCACCATCACATAACATAGCATAACGCCAGGTAACGCAGTGCAGTATGGTATGACATGTCATGTCACATCATATCATTCCATATCATGTGCTCCTTTAATTGTTCATTGGGAGTTTCATCCGAATAAACATATACATTATATACTAACGCTGGGGACAAAATAACCATCATGTGTTTATGGGCTATGGTGTTATAGGGATATATGACCATTGGGCTATAGGTCTATAGGGCTATAAGACAATGTACAATTAGGGCTAAAGGCATACATAGAGCTATATAATTATATGACTATTGGGCTATAGGGCGCTATAGGGCCACGGGGCTAAAAGGGCCATAGGGCTAGAAGGGCTAGAAGGCAACAGGGCTATAGGGCTATTGGGCTATAGGGTTATGGGGCTATAGGGCTGTGAGGGCTATTAGGGCTATAGGGGCTGTAGGGCTATAGGGCTATAGGACTATAGGGCAATTCGGGCTATAGGGTTACGGGGCACCCAGGCACCCGGGCACCTGGGCACCCGGGCACCTGGGCAGAGAGGAGCTTTACAGAGGCAAACAGTGAGTTGGGAATTACATGAGATGGAAGACGAGGAGGGAGGGGTGAGTGAGTGAAGGAGTTGGCGCGGTCGGAGAAATAACAAGAACCCCTTCGTTTGGAGATGGGGAATGACAAGAACCCCATCTTTAGGATGTGGGGATTTACACGGGATCCGAGCCTGCTGAAAAAGGACAACCTACAGAACAATACATTTAAAATTTTAAATATTCGAGCCCCAGGAGAGGGGCAATCTGGAGGAACGTATGTAAAACACGTAGGATTCAAGTCCCAGGAGAGGGGCGATCTATTTGAACACGCATAGGATTCGAGCCACGCGAGAGGGGCATTCTACTGAACACGCGTAAAACAGAGGATTCGAACCCCGCGAGAGGGGCAATCTATAGGAACATGCGTACACCACGCAAGTTATCAAGCCCGAGCCTCCTGGGACCTCCTGGGAACTCCGGGGCCTCCGGGGGCCTCTGGGGGCAACCTGGGGCCTCCAGGCCTTTCCAGGGCCTCCAGGAGCCTCCTGCGGGCCCCCCCTGGAGTCTCTTGGGGCCTCTTCGGGTTTCCCGGAGCCTCCTGGTACCTCTTGGGGGGTCCTGGGGCTTCGTAAAGCCTCCTGGGGCCTCCTGGGGCCCTGGGGCCTGGGACCTTATGTAGCGGGGCCTCCTGGGGCCTCCGGGGCCCGTTTGGGGAGTCTTCGGGCTTCACCGACACAGGAAAACCGCCTGAGACATCTTCGCAATCTAGGCTCCTTTGGGGAACAGATGTAAAACACAGGGTTCGAGCCTCAGGAGAGGGGCAACATGTATATATACATATATATATATATAGATATAGGAACATACGTAAACACACATTGGATTCGAGCCCCATGAGAGGGGGGCAATCTACAGGAACACGCGTAAAACACAAGATTCGAGCCCCAGGTGAGGACCAATCGATGGGCACATGCGTACAACGTAGGATTGGAGCCTCAAGTGAAGGGCACGTTGTAGGAACACACGTAAAACACATGATTCAAACCTCAGGAGGGGGCAATCTACAGGAACATACGCAAAACAAATCGGATTCGAGCTCCAGGAGAGGGGTGATCTATATAGATATGAATATATATATATATATATATATTCATATCTATATATAAAATGTGTATATGTATAGATACTTGTATATATATATATGTGTGTTTGTATAC